GGCCCCATGGTCAGGGGTTCTGGTGTTAGGACAGGGCTTTATTGTATATAGTGAAAATGTATTAAATCTTTGAAAATCTTCTTCTCTGCTCCTAGGTTTTAAATAAACTAACTAAGTAAATAGTTATGATGAACAAGAGTGCCTCTACCAAAATTGTGAAACTCATGACCCTGGGTCAGGGGTTTTGGTGTTAGGGCGGGGCTCTATTGATTATATAGTGAAAATGCATTAAATCTTTGGAAATCTTCTTCTCTGCTCCTAGGTTTTAAATAAATTATCTAAGTACATAGTTATGATGAGCAAGAGTGCCTCTACCAAAATTGTGAATGCCTTAGCATGTAGCTTAAAACATGAAACAAATTCAATCATTTGAAAGTTGTTGCATGATGCTCAGGTGACCTATAAGGCCCGTGGGTCTCTTGTATTTGTCCTTTGAACGGGTGAAACGTTTTGATTGGCATTCGTATCAAATAATTTTACACTAAACCAAGCTATCTTCTCAGACCATCTGGCTTTAACCGCTTTCATCTTAAAACCGGAAGTGCGAGTTCGTACATTTGAAATCTCGATCCCGACTCAAATTTGACATCGGAAGGAAAAAAAATGTTTTTTTTTTTCTAAATTCATTTGAAACCTTGAGCGCAGGGTTTGTAAAACTGCACATAAAATAAATCCACGTCTAAAATATGTAATTAAATCATTAGTTTTGAATATAAACTAGGAGCAAAGGATTCGATGTTCAAAGAAATCATGCATTTCACTATACAATCATTAGAGCCCCCCCCCCCCTTAAAACAGGAACCCCTAACCCTGGGGCCATAAAATTCATAATTTTGTTAAAGGCACTCTTGCTCATCATAACTACGTACTTAGTTAGTTTATTTAATACCCAGGAGCAGAGAAGAAGGTTTTCAAAGAAATAATGCATTTTCACTACCTACTTATTTAGCCCCGTCCTAGCACTAGAATCCCTGACCCCAGGGCCATGAATTTCACAATTTTGTTAGATGACTCATTGCTGATTACAATCGTGCAAACGGTTTGACTGCTTGATGTCCAGGAGTAAAGAAGAAGATTTTAAAAGATTGCATTAATTTTAGTGGTTTTGCCCCCCCCCGCCCCAAAGGGGCAAGGATAATGAAATTCACAATTTTTGTTCCCCTTCACCCATAGATGCTTTGTGCCAAATTTGGTTGAAATTGGTACATTATTTGCTGAGAAGAAGCTGAATATGTTCAAATGTTAACGCACGACGGACGACGACGGACAAAAACAGATAGCAATAGGTCACCTGAGTTTACTCAGGTGACCTAATAAAATGCATATTTTATATTTATAGGAAAGACGTAATTTCAAATGATGATTTCATATATCTTTTTTTAAAAAAGAAAGTTATTTCCTTCTGCAAAATTAGAGAATCAAATTCTGAAACTATTCAATTAATAATGAAATATTATATAAATAGATATAACTGGAAATCACAATTTTTGACTTGCATAATTAATTTTTGGACTCCCGATTCTGTTTGATTTTTCTGACATGGGGTGCAAAGAACCAAGGTGCCTGAGGCTGTGGCTCCATATCTGAATTGCAGATCCAACACGCTGGAAACAAAAGTGCTCTCTACCGTGTGGCCCCTCAGCAATGCCAAATCTTGCTGTGGCGTAAATAAAAAAAATTGATGAAGGTCTCAGTTGTCACTTTTCTGGCAAGGCATGGCTTTCCAGGAGTGATCGGCTGCATTGACAGATGCCACATTCCCATCAAAGGACGCACCGAGGATCGCGCAAGATTTTCAATTGTTCTCCAGGGAATTTGTAACGAGAATATGCAGTTCATCGAAGTCTTTGTTTGTTTGCCAGGATCCGTCCATGATTCTAGAGTCATAAGGAACAGCCCTATTATAGCTCAGTTTGAGAAGATGCCTGGTAATTTGCATATCCTGGGTGACTCAGCTTACCCCCTCTCTACCTTTCTGATGACCCCATTCAAGGAGACAGGCAACCTGCGTGAACTAGAAAGAAGGTTTATCATCCTAAACAGCACGACCAGATCACTCATTGAACGATCGTTTGCGCTTCTGAAAGGGAAATTCAGAAGACTCAAATCCTAAGACATGAGTCTTGAACAGGAGATACCTGGCGTTGTTATGTCCTGTGTTTACTTGCATAAAATTCACAATTTTGGTAGAGGCGCTCTAACTCATCAAAACTATGTTCTTAATTGGTTTATTAAATACCAAGGAGCAGAATTTTTTTTTTCAAAGAAATAATACATTTTCACTATATAATCAATATAGGGACCTGCCTTTACAACAGAACCCCTGACCCTGGGGCCATAAAACTCACAATTGTGGTAAAGGCAATCTTGTTTATCATAACTTTATACTTAGTTGGTATATTTAATACCTAAGAGCAGAGAAGAAGATTTTCAAAGAAATAATAATTTTCACTATATAATCAATCGAGAGCCCAACACTAACACAAGAACACTTGACCATGGGGCCATAAAATTCACAATTGTGGTAGAGGCACTCTAGCTCATCATAACTATGTACTTAGTCGGTTTATTTAATACTCAGGGCAGAGTCGAAGATTTTTAAAGAAATCATGCATTTTTACTATATACTTCTTTAGCCCTACCTTAGCAGTAGAACCCCTGACCCTGGGGCCATAAATTTCACTATTTTGGTAAAGGACGGCTAGTTTTCTTCCTGTTTCTTGAACGTTTGGGGACATGATAATTTTACAGTGATTCACAAGTATGCGTTTATGACATATATTAACACAACAGCACTGCAGTAGATGGATGTTCATACCAAACGCATTGAGTTCGCGTGGTAACATTCGAAAGATCATTTTAAGAGAATGTTTGGCACAACAGAAACAAATCTCTTGGTAACCGATCATTTGACAAACTGCCATGTCCTGTCGGAAGTTGCATCGGTGATACTTTTTTTTCCACTCCTATCGAGTATGTTAAAGCTTACCTCAGAAAAGTAGGACAACAGAATTGGCAATATCAGGTAATTTGTGGCGAGGTCTGCCATGACTACATGTATTTTACTGCGCAGTGGTATGTGATTGAGACTTTTGTCCATGTTTGCCAAACATAGCATTCCCTATGAAGTCATAAAATAGACATCGGTATATTTCACAGGAATTCAGAGAACTTGCTAAGGATTGGAACTTCCAGCATACTACCTCTAGTCCTTACCATCAACGGACTTGCAGTGAGGACAGTTAAACCCATAAAACGACTACTTGAGAAATCGAGAGTTGACGGAAGTGACCCTTATTTGGAATATAGTAGTTGAAGGTTAAAAGATTGGATATTGCTAAACAATGTCAATGAATAAATGCACTCCATGTGTTTACAAGCAGGTAGATGAACCCAATTTAGCTATGCTACAAAGTATTTATCAATTTTTTAAAATTTCTTTCATGCAAAAGGCCTACAGAAGGATGTTACAACAGATCCCTATCCTAGTCAATGGGGTGTTGCTAAAACGCGGAACGGAAAACGGAACGGAAAACGGAACGGAACGGAAAACGGAAAGAAAATGTTAACATCCCCCAAAAAATTAATAACATAGATCTGAAAAGTTTATTCACTCGTTTTTGTGATATTTAGAAAAAGATATTCTGAATCCAGTTAATAAATCTTCAGTTTACACCTATCTATAGTAAAGAATAATGTCCTCTGTAGAAGTTTCAATCTACTTTTCACGAAATTTCGTACCAGCTTACAATACACTTTTCTCAGGCCTCTTAGAAGTATCTTCATTATCATAAAACGTAAAATTCTTGTCATTCTTACACTACAATACATTCTTTATACCTCCACTCAAATGTATGTATTTAACAAGGATATAACCTAGAATCATTAACTTATTATTACATGTATTTTCACGAATGTCCAAAAAAAAAAAAACAAAAAAAAAAACGGGGGTGAAGGAGCGTTGCTGTTTGGGGGGGGGGGGGGGGGCGATTATTTATTTATGTTTACTAAACAACAGAAACTGAACATAAAAAATAATTATTATGAAAGTATCCACTCAATAGCTAGTGTAGTGTCTAATAATTGTTACGTTTTGCGTCATTTTTTTTTTTTTAAATTTTTTGGGGAAGGGCTGTTTCCAATCCTGTTCCTATATAATTTTAATACTCAGTTCTCTCAAATTAAAAAAAAAGAAATTGTCATTAAATTGCTTTCACACCCAGATGCAGCATTAACTATCTCAAGACTGCCCCCCCCTTCCCAATCGCCGCCTCATTGGCCATCAATGGATACTGCATTATTTAACTATTATTTTCAATATAAATATATCATAGGCGTTAGTCACAGGGAGGGGGCAGCGGGACACTAGCCCCCCCCCCCCCTTTCAGATCGGGGGGGGGGGGGGGGGGCAAGAGTATGTCTGTGCCCCCCACACTTTTCATTGAAGAACAAAATCACAGCTATATTTCCCCAACATTTCATTTTCTCTACTAAAGGAAAAGTTGGCCACAACCCCCCCCCCCCCCCCCCCCCCCCCCACGAAATAGGATTTTCGAGTTTGGGGAACTTGCAATTTCTTTGTTTTTGTTTTTTGTTTTTTGCTTGTCAAAGAATTTCTGGAGTTGAGACCATCCCCATCGCGCAAGTTTGTGACTTCGCCTCCGTATATAGTATAAGATGCTGGATGCTGCAGTTTACAGTAATAATAAACATTTGACAGAACACAACTGACAGTATGCAGGTTTATTCAGATATGATTATACACAGGACTTGCACAGTAATAAACTATCTTTCCCGTCTCATAATTTTGCAAAAACAGTTTTATAACTCTACAGTAAATCTTTATTTTTATGGTAAGTTAGTTTTATCGTTCTTTTTTCAAAAGATAACCTGTCCTCTTTCTGCTTATTAAAATTCTTATGAGAGGAATACGTCAAACATCACTTTAATAATAGAAAATGTTTTCTCCCCCCAAACATGAATTTACAAAAAAGGGGGACTTAGTACTTCACATTAAAACACTTAAGATAAGTCTTATGCACGTCTTGTAGCTGCATTGCGACATCAGGAGGGCAAATAACGAGAGTGTCTTCGGTAAATTCCGGATTCTTCGTCGTAAGACATGCCTTCTTTAAATGATAATGGACATTTTGAGGCGTAAGAGTGAGTTTCGTAATGCCATCTTGCATATAGGCCCGATATTCCTTCCTGCAAATCACTACATCATAAGGGGGAGCAGGTACGAATGGGGGTACTCTGATTGCCTTTGAACACCCGTAACACACTCTTACTTTTGTACCTTTTAAAAATTTCAAAAAGTAATTGTTCTCTAAATCGTCAGATGCGGTCACTGTGCTATCCACTGGATAACGCGATCTTCGTTTCGTAGACAATGCGTCTTCAAATTCATACTGGCTAGTGGATTTCCTCTTTGTCGATCTATCCTTATGTCCCGGTTTCTTTTGAGGTTTTTGGGGCATTTTCTCTTTCGAAATCGTTGAAATGCTTAGTTCTCCGCATTTCTTATACCAACGCAAAAATTTATCTAGAGTTCCTTTTTTCTCGGCAACAGCTACAGCATGAGAACATATTTGCTTGGCTTTATATCCATCACACGGACATTCTATTTTTCCACTTTTAAATGTTTCAATAAAGTGAGGATTTTTTTTGGATTTGCTCACAACAAGCATTGCGGTACCGTCCCCAGGTGCATTTACAATATTGCTATCTTTTTCTAAGATCTCCACAGCTTTTTCCCAAACCTTTTGGAAAACATGTTCTGATAATCCAGTTTCCTCAAATCCAATACTTATGCCACGAGTGGATCTTGAAGTTCCCGAAGTGGAGGCACCCTCGCTGTCTACAGAGTGACGTGATGGCTTAGGGGGAGCCTTCACAAAGTTTTTAAGGTGGGCTTGTCGGGTGCTACTTGACAATTTAAACCAATCTGTTTGGCATATTTCATATTGTTTGTATTCAGGTCTCAATTCGTAAGGCCCAACTCCAATTATGGCCTTTTCAACATCTTTGTTCTGACTGTCAACTAAAGAAAATAGTTTTGTACAAAATTCTCCTAATTGAGATTCTTTGTAGTCTACTTTTTTTTCTTTCAGCTTCTTGTTTACGGATTCGTTTGCATTTGTGGTATACTCGGCATAACCAAGTCCTGCAGATATTCTCAGGGGTAACAGAAGATGTTCTTTAAATGTGTCCGCCTTTTCCTTGAGAAACCATTTATAAAATAGGGGGTCGTTTGTTTTACGGTCTTCAATTTCTCTTTCATTCCAAATTATTTCATAATTCTTTAACTCTGTATCAAACTCTGCTTCCGAGGTGGCATCGACTAATCCATATTCCACCTCGGAATCACGTTTCACACCAAATATATCTCTGATATACTCACCAATGGTTGATTCTGAAACACCAAGTCCTTGGAGTTTTCTTGAAATGTTATTTCGCATGTGCCGAAAGCATTTAATATTCAAACTTTGAGGGAAGAAATTTTTCACGCCCTTAAAAATGGCCTTCTCGTCGTCTGTTCCAATGAAAAGAATTTCGCTTAGACCAGGCCGGAGAGATGTACATGTGCTTGCCAGGTAGGAATATGACATTGGAAGCTTCTGCTGGTGAATGAGAACGGGACCAATCATTGTAGGGGAATTTCCGGTTCGTCGATGTCGAAGTTGTAAGTGTTTATATGTAGCAACTGTTACAAGAAATTGGCCTAAATTAAAAGTAGGGTCTATACCTAATACAGCCGTCTCTGCAGGGTTAGTGAGGAACTTCTCCATTTCTGATAACTGCCTGTCAGTTACACAGACGCACATGGGTTCGGGTGCAGCTTGAATGGACCTTATGAAAGGATTAGTCCTGGACTGTTCCGATTTGCAGTGTTGTATGATTGAAAACAAATCGTCTTTATCCTTTGATCCTTTATCCCCTCCGGATGCTGAATTTTTAATATTATAAATCTGCTTTATATTTCTGGGGATTTTACACATGCTCTCTGCCTCCAAGCCGCCGACAGATTCGAATGCGTTTTCAAAAGCATCTTTTGGCTTCATCTCCTTATTTACCTTTTCAACTGTTGACTTTGTTGTCCGTACATAGATTCCTCCCGATTTGCTATTTCCATGAGGTCTTGGCTTTGGTGGGGGGGTATTTCCATGGAAAACAAACTGCAAGATGACTACTTTATGTTGATTTCCTTTCCAATCAAAAAGTTCGTATATTCTTCTTTTAAAACTTGCGTCGCTTTTTAAGGAATAGTAAGACCTTTTGAGCATGTAGATGCCATGTCTCATGACGCTGGGATTTTTTCTCAAGACTTTTATAACTTTCTCATTATCAGCAATAGAAACGTAGTCTCTTTGAACTCTCTCATTTTTCATGGCTCCAAGTTCGTGTGATCGTATATCTTCCAGATGTTCTAATTTACTCGTGTCAACAACAAAAATTTTAGTTTCCTTGCAGCTAAAAGGTAACTTGGTTACCAAATGATCCTTTGTATTTACTATTACTGACACTGCTTCTTTTACCCCAAATTTCTTATCAATCGAAGAAAAGATTGGCATACTTTGATTGCCTTCGTAGAATTCTATTTCTGGCGATTTGGTTGGACGTTCCAAAGATCTGAAATTAAAAAAATCAACTTTTTTAAACAAGCACTAATCCCCCAGTATGACAGCTTATGGCAAAACCAAGTCTAACTCCAACGTCAAAAGATCAAAAATGTTATTCAAAGAAATGACCCGTCTCAATGAATAAACTGGTACGAATTATGAACTGACTTGCAAGCATTACCAATTCAAACGTATTGACCCACTTATTAGCTCACCTGAGCCGAAGTTCTGATCAAAATTTGTCAGTTGTCTGTCGTTGACGTTGTAAACTTTTCACATTTTCATCCTCTTTTCAAGTTTGTTCAAATGAAGGGCCAATAATTATGAATAAGAGAAAAATTAATGGCGTTTTTTAAAAATAACCTACTCAAGAACCACTGGGCCAGGAAATATGAAACTCGTATGGAATCATCCTCAGGTAGTGTAGATTCAAGTTTGTTCAATTCATGATCCCTAGGGGGTGGTTAAAATTCAAGCCCCCCACCCACCCAACTCCATAAACTTTTAGTACTGATCTGATATGTGCTTTTTTCCTAGCCACTGTGCTCAGGTTAGCGCTCTGGACCCTGGGCCTCTTGTTTTTTTAAGTGGGTCAAATTACATGGTCAAAGTCAAAGGTTAATGGTAACCAGGGGAAAGCCTTGTCATAAGTAATATATATGAACTAGTAAAAACCCACTGATCAAAGGTTTTGGTAAAGTTTTAAAAAATTCCAGCTCAAAATTCTAAGTACAATTGTAAAAATTGTTGATATCGAAAAGAAGATTCTGTCACAAGAAATTCACATGAAAGCCCTAATACTAACTGTTTGAAAGTTGTGATCATGGATAAATTTCTTTAAAATCGGGTCCAACTCTGTGGTCAAGGTCAAAACTCAAAAAGTCTAGACTAAAGGTCTTGTTACAAAAATATAAACAAAAAAAATTAGAATTCAATGACAGCGATATTATTCTTTACATCACATCAAGCATCTGTTTCTCTATTATTTTTGTCCCCCGCTTTTGCGAAAGCGAGGGGGCATTAAATCTCATTCGTCTGTCCGTCGGTCCGTCTGTCTGTCCGTCAGTCCGTCAGTCTGTCCGTTACAAAAACTTTAAGCTTGCGTATAACTTTTGATATATATATATATATATATATATATATAGTATTATTACCCTTGATCCGACTCAAAGTCAGAGCTGGTCTCCAACACGGGTGAAATTGGTGATTTTGGAGAAGAGTCCGAGCTTGAAAGGATAACGATTGGTTCAGGGCCTAGCTGAGATAGCTCAAGATTTGAAGGTTTGATATCAGAACTGGAACTGGATATGGAAATTCGATCAACATCATTGCTCATATAAGTCGGGACTTCATCAAGCGACGGCAAGCTGTCTTTCTCAGAAGAATTTGATAATTCAGAGTCGGACCTACAACATTAAAAATAAAACACATGTAGTAACAAAATATTATGGCACAATTGGAAAAAGACGCTCCTTTCTTATGTTTCTTTTTTAAAAATCTTAGATCGATTTTCTTTTTACTTATGTACATGCGATCTGACGTGATATTACTAGTACGTATACGCGTAAAAATATCAGTAATGCAAACTTCCGTCTCATATGATACTGGTACTTGCACTTTCAACGGACACTTTTCACATACACACACACACCCTCACCCTTCCTCACACACACGCACAAAAAGTTCTTAGTGATGAGTATTTAGATAAAATGCATTTTTTAAGGAAGACAAAGTGGTAAAATGCCTTATAACATGCAACGATTTTTAAAGGAGGGAGGTTTTTTTAATTAAAAGGGGGAGTTTGTTTCCATGTCCGAAGTAAAGTAGTCAAAATTTGAAGCAACCATAATGATACAATATCTAAAACATGTTGAGAATTAGATATCTTGAACATTCTATGATTGTAATTCTTGTGATCCATTATGATTCATGAATTATTATTACATGTAAAATTGATACAGTCTATAACAATCTTTGAACCAGGATCGAGAATGGTCGTTCGTTCCTGTGTAATGCGAGAGTGCCCCCTCACAGCGTTTACTATCCTTTCTTTAAGTAAAATTCGCTTTTGTTGTGTGAAATTGATTATAATCATATTTAAACACCACTTTTTTTTTCTGAGAAAGTATTTTTCTGTAGTATTTTCCCCTTTAGATGCTGGTTAGACCCCTAATTTTATTTTTATTTATTTTTTTTTTTGCTGCAAGGTGGAGCATTGACAAATTCCAGAATCAAGAAAAGTAATCAGTTGTTTTGTTTAATTTCTCAGCTTTTAACCCCCCTCCCTTATAAGACAATTGATTTAGAAATATCTTTTGACATAATAAATTATCAAAACCTTATTTTGTGTGGAAACTACCAAAAGTAAAGGTTTATTAGCATATGCTAGGATAAAATAGGATAAAAACATGTACACAGGGCCACAGTAGTAACGTTTTTATTTGTTTAAACAAATTAATTTGTTAAAACAAAATATAAAAGATACTGCTGTGACCTTAGTACGCTTCCGTATTCTTCCACTATTCTCAAGACCATTCTCTCATTAGTACTTTCACATGCATTCAAGACTACATGCACATATTGGAAAATCGCCGAGCGAGAATTTCATTCCTATATATTGTATTTATTCAGATTTCCAAAACTAATCCAACAATTGCAAGAACAATAAAATCAAAATTTCTACATAAGAACGGAGTACAATCTGTTTTTATTGAACAGAATATGGATGTCAGTGATTGACGGGGAAATCTCATATATTTTTGTGCAAGCATGCATGTTCTTTTTTTTTAATAATGGGGGATATCCACATTTGATACCAATGCAGGCACGGATCCAGAATTTTTTTTCCAGGGGGACCCAAGTAAAAAAAAATCCAATCCCAGAAATTTCTTGACAAGCAAAAAAAAAAAACAAAAAAAAAACAACTACAAAACATGAATGAAAAACCTATTTCGTGGGGGGGGGGGGGGGTGTCTATGACTTTTATTGACTCAAATCTTTCACTTTTCCTACCTATTTCACACATATTCGAGTCCGCGTTTTCCAAGGTAACTTTTTCGTGCTTTAGTATATACATTTTTTAACCTTGTAAATTCCAGGGGGTGGTCCTGAACCCCCCCCCCCCCCCCTAGATCCGCGCATGCAATACATGCCTGAACGTAGACCATGGATGTTTTTGAAATGTTGCACATAAGTTGCATCTTTGTCCAAATCGAAATTTTAATTTTTATAATAAAACACGAAATATCCCTCAAATAGATGTATTTCTAGAAGCTATCATTAATCTGCTTAAAATCAGTCGCTGAACTTTGGTGGTACATGTATATACATTGTAAAACATTGTAATATAATTAAGCATAATTTTAAAATAGAAAGATAGTAGAAAAAATACATTACCTATTGCTATCCTCCAAAAACTTCTCGAAGCTCTCTTGCCACATGGTTCTCTGAGAATACGGAAAGCTGAATGAAAACTGGGGGACTGCATGTTCCATGAGTCCGGCAAAGATACCGGGTATTCAAAAAAGGCCGACCTTTGAAAACTACGCTGTCATCATTTCAAATGTTGACACCAGACTTTGATGTTTTCAATTTATTGATGCTTTATTGCAATTTTTCACAACTGGTTGAATAAACCAAGCCCAAAGATAAAAGAATATGCCGAGAAAGTGGAAAATCAAAGCTTGAGAACTAAAAACTGAAGAAAAAAATCCAGTAATTATGGACTTAGAAAAGGGACAGCTATATTCTAGTAAATTAAAAGTTTCAACATAAGTACATAAGTCATTTTATTTAGGTACTCGGCTCGTCTTACCATAACTTAGCCTCAGAATTTTTTGTGAGACGGGGTGGGGTTGGGGGGGGGGGGGTGCTGTTCTAAGGCCATTCAAATTAAGACGGATGTAGCACACACCCCGCTTTAGGCGGCCGTATTGAGAGCATGCCCCCCCCTCCCAATAAAAAAAAAACTTCTTATCGAGCAATGTGCATTTGTAGATCATGCAGCAACGGAAAAATAACTTATTACTTTAAAATAAATTTTAAAATATACTTTTATATTTTTCCTTCCGTTTTCCGTTCCGTTCCGTTTTCCGTTCCGTTTTCCGTTCCGCGTTTTAGCAACACCCTAGTCAATGAAGGAAAAAAGGCTTGTAGTTACGCTCTTGATCCTAATGTTTACTAGTAAATCTTGATTGTGATATCATTAACACGAACTAAACGTAATATCACTGACACATACACACCAGCGTAGAGGGGACACATTTCTGATTGAGATCAGACTTGATATATTTCCTTCCGAATTCAAACTGTCTTGATCTTTAGGAATTCCTTATGCTTTGCATTGGTTTCAAAGTTCTAGCACATCATACACTGTAAATTAGTATACCTGTGTGCATTACTGAAGTAAAAATTGTCTTCTTTTTAAATTTATTGAAAAGTATTATGTTTTAATTTCTTTCTCCATTATTTATGTACAGTTTATGCACACAACGAGAATTTCAAACCCACTTCAAAGAAAACTGCTTGCTCTATTGTAATGGTTAGCGATGAAGATAAAATACGGGTATGTCTTATGTCATGTAAAATCCATTAAATTGATATAAATGTTTCCATCAGAAAATACCGTTTCTATTTTAATTGTTGTATAAAGAATGTAAATGACTACAATGTATGTAGAACTGTAGCTCTCAAAAAATAAATTTATAGAGCAAAGAGCTTTAGTGCCACTCCTTGAAAAAGACTGTTACAGTTCATTTATTGCGCACAAAAATAGCACCGATTCTCTATTTATTTTTGATTTTAAATTGCTGTCTCAAAAATTAATAACTGTATGTTCCTAACATATTCTTTAACTTTTATACTATTCAACTATATTGATTAACTTTCCTTACATTCAGACATTATTTAAATTAAGTCTTAGAATTTAAGATTTTAATTTTTAACTTATTTTCCATAGATATGTTGACCTAAAAACTTGCATTGATGGTGATTATTCTGCTTTAATACTTTTCTAATTTTCGTTTTACAGTCTTCTCCAAAATTAAGAGACGGATACTTTAGATATAAATGTGGACCCTTTGGAACTACAAAAAGTTTGAAGCTGAGGAGATAGTGGCTACTGTATGGCCTGAGGCAGGTCAGCTATACCCGGTACAGAACTGTCCGTCTCGCCCCCATATGTTCCGTAAACTTGGAAGTTATAGAGCCCATTACCGGGTACGTGAGTTTTCATAAGGACGTGTGCGCGATGTACGACTGTCCAAGATTATTTTGTCGTCAAATTCTCTACAAGTGTAATGACATGTATTGGCATATCCATCAGGATCACAAGGATCTTCACAAGGACGATATGTCGACCCCAAAGGCTACCCGATGCCGCAAAGACCATTCACAAGAGATTAGAGACTTAGCTGCTAGCGCAAGAAAACGTTCTTCACAGGAACCGTTAATCACACTTCCAGATAACTGCAACCCTAGGGATCAGAGGTTTCCTTTTGGGGGATTTAACCATTAACTTTGTTCATTTAATACATATCATATTTGAAGGGAAAATTACTGTAAACTTGGTTTTTTAAGTTTAGTGGTCTAGATTGATTATTTACTGTTTAACGTCCCTCTCCAGAATATTTCACTGATATAGAGACGTCACCACTGCCGGTGAAGGACTGCAAATTTAGGCCTATGCTCGGCACTCAGGGCCATTGAGCAGGGAGGGGTCTTTATCGTGTCACACCTGCTGTGACACGGGGCCTCGGTTTATACGGTCTCATCCGAAGGGCCGCCCCATTTAGTCGCCTCTTACGACAAGCAAGGGGGTACTGAGGACCAATTCTAACCCGGATCCCCACAGGATTTAGTGGTTTAGATTTATATTTCTATTTTACAAGTATTTGTTGATATTTCTGTCTGGTAATTCCATTTACCTTTAGTTTTCAGTTGTTGTTCACTTAAAAATCCTTTATTATTTTCTTTTAGTTCGGACATGAGTGGACACACAGGAGGTGTCATCCATGTTGGCAGTCTTTCCATAGTACTATTGATAGCTATGTTCTGATTGGTTAACTTAGCGTAGGATCTTTGGTAGTCATTGTTTTTTTTTTTGTTATTTCGGGCCTAGATAGGGTATTTAAACCCGTGTTCGAGCAGTTTTCTTCACTTTGGTTGGGGAACACAGCATCATGGATAGTTCCTCCATTTTGTGCTAAGAAAACCCCACGGTTTCTGAGCACTATTTGATTAGATATACTGTACTTAGCGGGCTATGAAAACCTAGTTTAACAGTTCTCTAGGTCTTAGCTTAGATTTAGTTTTTCACATGTTAGGAAACGGTTAGGATATAGGTTATTTAAAGTTAATTTAGTTTCCCCTATCCAAGACCTGCTTAGTCTATGGATGTGTATA